TGCTCTTATTTTGATATAAATTAATGTCACTGGACTCTTACATTTGGCAAGGTAGAAATGAGTATACACCAGCAAAAAAAAAGGGCCAACACTTAAAAATCTTGTAGGAACTAGATAGTTTTAAATGATTTTTAAAAAATGTTGTAGAATATTTCTGCAGTTTCTTGACCACCTGGTTTTTTTTTAACCAAATGTTTCTATCTTTCCTACTATCAAAAGGTAGTACACATTTACATGTAAAAGTCGTAATCATAACAGTAATAATAATGAGAATAACAATAATTTATATGATCCTTATTGGCTGCCTTGTACTCTACTCAGCACTTTATGTGCATTAACTCTTCAAATTCCCGGAAGAACACTGAACAGTCAGTATGATCTGTCCCTATCTTAGTTAAGAAAATTCAGTTGCAGAAAGGTTAAGAAAGTTGACCGAGGTCAGCTAGTAAGTGTCAGAACAAAAATTTAAATCTAACCTATATTTTATACCTGTGAAGATGCATACAACTCACTAAATTGCACTTGTGAATGGTATCTTTGCCCTGTTGAACACTGAAATAGAGTCAGAATGCCCTTCAATTGTTTATGAAAAACACTGACATTCAATGTGGCACTTGCACTGTATTTGGACTACATAATTTTGTTGCTCTGAACATTATTTGGATAAGAACTTGTTAATAATTTGAGCAACTATAACTTCAAAATCTTTATGTACTATTAAACAGAGAGGTCACTATTGACTTTGACACTCATTTTTTAAAAATTTCAACTGCATGGTTACATGAATGGTTTTCTCTCTTGGAGTTATGATAGCATTCATATGTTCTTCTCTTTTCAGTTTGGTACTTTGGCACTTTTGGAAATGAGATAAAATTGCTTGCAGTGTGGCTAACGGATTAGCATACATAGTGTTTCCCTACTCTCCTGCTCCTTTTCCTGAAGTCATCACATTCTTTTGCAGTTTCTCCTTTATTCCCCTCCATTTGCCTCTATTTTTTTTTCAATGAAAATTTATTTTCCTTTCCCCTTATCTTTGAATTTCCTTCCCCCTGTAATATCATGTGAGTTACTAGAAAGCTGCATGCACTAGGATCTCCTGGATGACTTCTAATCATGAAAATTCTGATTATTTGATCCTTTCATTTATTTGGATTATAGAGACACACCAGAGTTTATTTTGCAATAGTGTTGTCAGTCCTGGCAGAAATACCACTCCATTATAGCTTTGTCATATGTTTATAAAGAAAGGTCATTTTACTTAAATATATGTTTGCATGCTAACAAAAGTATGATTCAAAGGTATTGCTGAAAACGTAGCTGGCCACTGCTTATAGCATCTTCAGATCTGTCTCTCCCTCGTTGTGACCTCTGTAATACATTTCATAGAGTGATAACCTCTCCTTGCCCTAGGGCCAGGACTCCAGCCTACTTACTGCAATATGTCTACATGTAAAACACATTTAACCTCATATAACCAATGGTCCAGCCTAGATGTTAAATCCTTGCTTGTTCTGCATATTAACTGATCCCTTTTCCTAGACCTTTAGGCTCTATCACACCCTTCCCCCAAAATCATGTGATGCATTGTTGCTATCCACAGCCAGCATGACAATATTGAAAATGTTGAGAGAAGGGTCCTAGCTATTTTAGTATCCTGGATTTTATTTTCTTATCCTTCAAAGGAATTTTCCATAAACAGTAAAAATAAATTTAAAAATTCATTGATACTATTCATTAATATGTTGTTATGGATTCTAAGCAACTGTCTCTTTTATAGGCAACATAATTATAAGTGAAGTACAAATGTAGACTTTATGACTCCAATTAAACTTTAGGCCACAATCCATTAAAAACATATTACATATATTATATTACATGTAAGGAAAGATAATTATGCCAAATTATTTGAACTATCAAAATAAAACAAGGAGCAATAATTTCAAATGGTTTACATTTGTCTAACATTTTTGTCAACATAACTCAAGGTATTTCTTTAAAAATCATCAGAGAAAAAATTCTTACACTGAATTTTCACACACGTGTACATCATACTTTTTCGTACTTATTTCTTTATTTCATTCCACATCAAGAACATCTTTGAAAGTATTTCCCAAGAATGAGAAACTGTAAAGGATTCTATTTTTTAGTTGTATGAACATTAGTTTTTTAGTTTTAAGAGCATTATGCTTAAACATGGAAATTTCTAATTTCAGGGGTTTTATTTTGTAAGAATCAAGTCAAATCAAGTGACTAAAAGTTAATTTGAAGCAAAATGAAATTTCATCATCATTATAAAACTGGCTAAGAGTGCTGATCTAAAGTAAATGTCATCAGGCACCATTATCCTCCAGTTTCCACACTTGGCAGACTGTTATAAGTGAAGTGTTCCTCTGAAATTTTTGAGTGTCTAAGGACTGGGTTACCATGAAAAGCAGCTTTTTGAATATTATGTATATAAAGGTTGTTTCTACACAATCCTCACTCCTGTTTGTGAGATCTCATTTCTCCAGTGAGGAATGAAGGAATAAGAATTATGTGAGTTTAAGTGCAGCATTTCTGACATGGGAGGCATACATTGAGACAGGAAAGGAAGCTAAATCTGGGCAAAACTATGATCAAGCAAGAGTATCTTGGGATACAGAAGACACAAGGCAACAAACAAAAACAGTATTTCAAATGGACATTAAGAACAAATTTGAAGTAATTTGAAGGTATCATGCAAAAGGAAATGAGATCATTTAGCACAGGTATTCTAGCAATTTGAGATTGTGATGTTTTGAGGAGAAGGTAACATTGCCAATAGTAATATCTGAAAGAGGGACAAAAGAACATTCTCATCAGGAGGCCTTTAACCTCATATAACCAATGGTCCAGCCTAGATGTTAAATCCTTGCTTGTTCTGCATATTAACTGATCCCTTTTCCTAGACCTTTAGGCTCTATCACACCCTTCCCCCAAAATCATGTGATGCATTGTTGCTATCCACAGCCAGCATGACAATATTGAAAATGTTGAGAGAAGGGTCCTAGCTATTTTAGTATCCTGGATTTTATTTTCTTATCCTTCAAAGGAATTTTCCATAAACAGTAAAAATAAATTTAAAAATTCATTGATACTATTCATTAATATGTTGTTATGGATTCTAAGCAACTGTCTCTTTTATAGGCAACATAATTATAAGTGAAGTACAAATGTAGACTTTATGACTCCAATTAAACTTTAGGCCACAATCCATTAAAAACATATTACATATATTATATTACATGTAAGGAAAGATAATTATGCCAAATTATTTGAACTATCAAAATAAAACAAGGAGCAATAATTTCAAATGGTTTACATTTGTCTAACATTTTTGTCAACATAACTCAAGGTATTTCTTTAAAAATCATCAGAGAAAAAATTCTTACACTGAATTTTCACACACGTGTACATCATACTTTTTCGTACTTATTTCTTTATTTCATTCCACATCAAGAACATCTTTGAAAGTATTTCCCAAGAATGAGAAACTGTAAAGGATTCTATTTTTTAGTTGTATGAACATTAGTTTTTTAGTTTTAAGAGCATTATGCTTAAACATGGAAATTTCTAATTTCAGGGGTTTTATTTTGTAAGAATCAAGTCAAATCAAGTGACTAAAAGTTAATTTGAAGCAAAATGAAATTTCATCATCATTATAAAACTGGCTAAGAGTGCTGATCTAAAGTAAATGTCACCAGGCACCATTATCCTCCAGTTTCCACACTTGGCAGACTGTTATAAGTGAAGTGTTCCTCTGAAATTTTTGAGTGTCTAAGGACTGGGTTACCATGAAAAGCAGCTTTTTGAATATTATGTATATAAAGGTTGTTTCTACACAATCCTCACTCCTGTTTGTGAGATCTCATTTCTCCAGTGAGGAATGAAGGAATAAGAATTATGTGAGTTTAAGTGCAGCATTTCTGACATGGGAGGCATACATTGAGACAGGAAAGGAAGCTAAATCTGGGCAAAACTATGATCAAGCAAGAGTATCTTGGGATACAGAAGACACAAGGCAACAAACAAAAACAGTATTTCAAATGGACATTAAGAACAAATTTGAAGTAATTTGAAGGTATCATGCAAAAGGAAATGAGATCATTTAGCACAGGTATTTTAGCAATTTGAGATTGTGATGTTTTGAGGAGAAGGTAACATTGCCAATAGTAATATCTGAAAGAGGGACAAAAGAACATTCTCATCAGGAGGCCTACAAAACATGCATGGACAACAATAATTCTCCTTTGTCCTCTGCAGCCCTGGCTCCACACAGAGAAAAGGAGAAAGGCAAAGAGATAAGAAAGAGGTTGGAGAGATGATATTAAATGGTTGAAAAATAATTTAAAAAATAAAAAAAGAATAATCCTTCTGAGAAGATTCTCAAACTATGTATGGATTTAAAATAAAGAGATACATCTTTCTGTGGTAGTCAATTTAGAATCAACCTGAAATAATGTCCTTATTGGAATACCCAATTTTCCTCATTTAATTCACACAAGGTTTCACAAGTCACCAATGGCCTGGTAAAAGCTCTATAATCGCATTGTTCTTAGCACCACACTTTACTAATGGCAGGCATCTTATCAAAGGAAAAGAGGTGAATCACCTTATCCTCTATTATGTTTTCTGCTACTGAATTTGCATCAGGAGGCTGATAATTAAACATAAAGCAGAAGATACTGGTGGTGTTAACAGTTCAACAAAAACAAACGGAAGTGCTTTGTGACAATTAAGGTTTGTTGGGTTAAATCACAATTTCTCTTAGGAAAACCTGGAAAAGAAATACATTTAAAACATAGGTAGAAGAAAATAACTTCCAGAGGGGAATGCAATAACAATAACTTTGTAACTTAAGAATTTTCTGAAGGCCTTTTGTGATTTCCTTTGAGTTCTAATTGTCTTTTAGTTTTCACCACTGAGCACCCATTTACAACGATTTGTTTGTGGAAGGAAAATAAAATAGGCCCATGTCTTACCGCCTCCACTTCGGCAGGGTCATACCAGACATTGATGTATGGGTGCTGTAAGGCATCATCCACTGATATCCTTTTTGCTGGGTCAATCACTAGCATCTTTGACAACAAATCCCTGGCTTGGCTGGCTGAAAGGATGAATGAAGAAAACAATTAGTAAAATTCTAATTTTGGCAGGGAAAATGTTGGAAGAAGAAGAAAATTTAAAAAACTAAGATCAACTAGCACCTTCCTTCTAAACATTTGGTACTTTCACCAAATGATAAGGGAGATGCAAAATGAAATAATGAAACACTTTTTATCCATCAGTTATAAAAATAAGATGATGTAATATCCACTCACACCAGCTAATTCCATTCATGTTGGTGAGTGTGTAAATTGATACTTTGTGGAGGGCAATTTGGTAATACCTACTAAAGTTTAAAATGTGTAAACTTTATGACCCAGCAGTTCCACTTGTAGGTCTACAGCCTAGTTCATGAAAGGATGTTTGTTCACTGCAGCATTGGTTTGGAATAAAAAACTTCTAAACAGTCTAAATTTCCATCTACAGGCAACTAAATGAACTATGATTCAATTGTACCATGGTATTATATTTGGCAATTTAAAAGAATGAGGTAAATCTTTATGCACGTACATGGACATGTTATTAAGTGACCAAAAAACTGCAGAATGATCCATAGATCATAATGCATTTGTGCAAATCTGCTGCTTCCCCAATCAACAAACATTTCCTTCTCTATTTAAATATATAATGCATTAAAAGGTCTGCAAAGATGACAAACTGAAAATAGTAGTTACCTCTGAGGAGGGAGAATGTGTGCATGTATTGCTCACATAATTACAAAAAAATTTAAAAGACTGACATTTTTAAAAGGAAGCAATTGCTAATTATCAGGGAAATGCAAATAAAAACCACAATGAGATAACATCTCACACCATCTAGAATTGCCACCATCCAAAAGACAAGATTTGGAGAGGATAAGAAGTGTTGGAGAGGATATGGAGAAAAGGGAATGCTTCTACACTGTTAGTGAGAATGTAAATTGGTGCAGCTACTGTGGAAAGCAGTGTGGAGGTTCTTCAAAAAACTAAATATAGGAATACCATAAGACTCAGTAATTCCACTTCTAGGAATTTACCTGAAGAAAACAAAATCCCCAATTTGAAAAAACATATGTACCCTTATGTTTATTGATGCATTGTTTACAATAGCCAAGATATGGAAGCAACCTAAGTGTCCATCAGCAGATGAATCGATATAAAGAAGTGGCACATATGCATAATGGAATATTATTCAGTCACAAAAAAAAGAAGTCCTGCCATTTGGGACAACATGGATGGACCTACAGGGTATTATGCTAAGTGAAATAAGCCAGGTGAAGAGAGACAAATGCCATATGATTTCATTTATTTGTGGAATCTAAAAACAAAACAAAACAAAATAAAAAAATGAACCAAGTAGCAGTAGACTCATAGTCACTTTGAGAAGTAACTGGTGGTTACCATGGGAGTGGGGTGGCAGTGGGTGGGTGCAGAGGATGAAGGGGATAAAGGGGCACAAAAATCTCAATCATAAGTTGGTCACAAGGATAGAAATGCAGCATGGAGAATATAGCCAATGGTTCTGTAACATCCTCCTATGTTGATAGATAGTAACTGTCCTAGTCAGGGTGAGGATTTAATATAGTAAATGTTGAACCACTGTGCTGTATACCTGAAACCAATGTAATACTGTGTATCAACTATACTTCAATAAAAAATAATAAAAATAAAAAATGAAAAACAACATGAAAGAGGCAAATAAAGTGTGAAGACCGCTCATTTTAGCAGCTTTTCTGAGCTGGGAAAAAAAGAAGTAGCTAGAGGGAGTCAAGGAAGTCAGGGGTAACTTTTTGAGGATGGGAGAGGTGATGAGGGCTTTAGTTTCAGGAGCAGTTCTTCAAGGATAGAAAAAAGGACAGATTTGAGAGAAATAATTCACAAGATTTAGTAACCTGACCAAAGTGGGGGATCCAGTTCAGCTTATAAAATACTAAATGCCTACTGTGTGTCAAGTGCACTGTGAGGTGCCAGGATACAAAAAAATTACATGGTGATAGTAAGTATATTTCTTTGATAAATTGTTAAAGGACACTTAGTTTTTAATCTCTAAAAAATATCTAGAATCATCCAAAAATATCATTAAAAAATCTTTAAAATGTTACAGGAAATATAGTTCCAAATTGATTTGAAAGTTTCATGGTTAAAACATTCAATTTGCTTTAAATATATGGTAAAACTCCAAATTAAAGAGAATAAAATCTAAATTGGTTTGCTAATTTAGGAAAAAGGCAATGGGTTGGAATTCCTGAATATGTAGCAATTTTTATCTACTAATTTTTCTGATTATTAAGGAAATATGACTACAGAAAAATTTTGAAATTGCATAAAATATAAAATCCAGAAAAACCAACCTTTCCAACCTTCCCATGTAGAGGCAGTCATTCTTAATATTGGTTAGTCATTTTTAATGTATTTTTTCATTTTGACTATACTACAACTAAAATGCAGCACTCTATTTTCTCACATGTTCTATGACAGTATTTTCCTGTGTTGTTAAACTTATAATATATTTATCTATATACTTATTTATATGTCTATAAAAATGAGTAGTTAGATTAGAAGACTTTTTATTTATTTCTGTTCATCATTTTTCTGGGGATCTCAAGTCTAGAGATTTGATTTCTACTACTTCCAAACTGACACTCTGAACCTCACAGAATAAGAAAAGTCAGAAATACTTACATATTAATTTTCAGTATTTACTCTTTCTTATTGTCAACAATTCTTTCCTAATGGTCCAATAGGGCTATATTTATTTATTTCATTGGTTCAAAGATCTCTTTGATTTGTAGCTGATTTTATACTCAGATTCACATACCTACTTCTAACAGATTCTCCCATCAAACTCACCCATGTTCTTGTTCTTAGAAAGGGTAGATTTGGGGTGGGCTCCTCATTAATAGAGCATGAACTACAGTGACACTAAATCTTCTCACTAGAAATAATGATCAATACTATTTGTAGGAAACAAAATGAGTAAGAGGAAGAGAAAGAAGTTTCAATTCTTATCTTTCATTCTTTCATGTGCAAGCAAATGAGCAAATCTGTTAATGCAGTTTTTAAATAATAGCAGAATAAATTCTTCACTTATATTATTTGTACAATTTTTATTTTTATGTTAAAATAATTAATTATAAATATATAAATCAATTTATCATTTACAAAAATAATATAATCATAGAAATTCAATTAAATAAGAAATGAAAACATAAACTCAAGAAGGTTGAAATTATATTATAAAGCATGGTATTTAATTTAGTAGTTTTTCTAAAAATGCTTTCATTATCTCAAATAATTTAATCAGGACTTGTCTCCATATTGTTACACTACACAATATGGAAGGATTACTTTGCCTGACATTTCAATTAGCATCATAAAGATAAATTCTTTAAAATTTTTACTTGGAGTATTAGCTCTTCTTCAATCTGCCTATAGGCAGTGTTGATCTTAAAAGCAGTAGATTGAGTAATAATTGAGTCTGTTGCCACATGGAGAGTCAACAGAGACAACTGAAGAAATCCAGATGTTTGATAAAAGTCACAAATGCAGAAACAATGCTGTACATTTAAAACCCACCAGATGAAAGTTTGGAGGAGATGCTAAGACCCTGGGAAATAATAGCACCACATCTTAGTTTCTATGTCTTAATTAAGTCTACATTAGCTACAATTAAGTCTATAAATTAAGTCTGTAGCTAATTAATGTCCCACTTGTCTCCATTACTATGGCTCAAGCATTATTATCCCAGTTTTGTGGGTGAAGAAACTAAGATTTGTTACTAAAGTTCATAACTACAGAGAGAGTAATAGACTTACTTATTAATATGTGTTTATATTGCACATAAAATGTGTAGGTAAAATCTCATCTATCATTCTAAAATGTAAAAATGGGGTTTAAGCATTCCATAAAATACAAATTAAATGCAAATACCCACATCTCCAAGATTTCACAACTAAAAACTTGTATTGAGAATATTCTCCAGGTAATAAAAAGGATTGGAACAATGATTTCAATATATATTTCATAGTCTTTTAGAGTTATACCATGAAATAGTTAACCCATACTACTGTCACATACTTTATTATCATCCTTCCATCTGAATATCTAGACAATTCTAAAATCCTCAGTTACTCCCCCTTAGTACAAAAGATTGTTTAAAAATATCTCTCCTTAAATTAGGGTGGTTCAAATTAAAGAGAGGTATCACTATCAGTTGCTTGTTTAGCATTATCACTCACCCAGTGATTCCAAAGTTGTCCCTAACGGGCATACCTTTGAGTTTATTGTGCTCAGAGTCCGCTGGGAAGAGGGAATCTGGAAAGAGCTTGGGGAAGGTGAGTCCTGCATACTTGGGCCGATTCTCCACATAGTTTCTTACTGTGGGTTGCAATTTCTTCATGAATTCCGGACATGGTGTTCCTAGTTGCTCAATTACCTTGTTCCACTGGTCAATATCTGAGAATTGAATAGTTAAGGCAAAAAAAAGTGCAGGCCACTAGCTCTTGCCTTTCACTAGTTGGGAGAATTACTGCTTCTCAGAATCCTGAGCAGACAACACAACTGGAGTTTTAATAAGTAACAGAAGACAAAAATATAAAATCAGAATTATCAGGGAATGCAACCTTTTGAAATTTTAAATTTACTTTTAGAGTACACACACTTAGGGAGAACTAGCATTACTTAACAAAATAAGATGCTATGAAATAGTTTCAGGATTGTAAAAATGAAAACATTTAAATAACACAATAAGAGTTTCTTATTTTGAGATAAGCCTCTATATAACCACATGATTTAGAAGAGAAAAATATGATGGCACATAATATTTTTATCATGAAATTACCTCAATCACTTATTTTCTAAAAATGACATATTATACACATTTTAGAAGATTCATTTACATTTTTTCTTAAGTTCCCTTTTAAGATTTTTTTCTTTCTCTACAAAATAGAGAAATTTCATCATCTTCATATGCATTACATATGGGATCAATATAATATTTGCTAATAAAATAATTCATTAATTCTTCACCAGTCTTAATTTTTTCTATTTATCAAAGGAGTCACAGTTTTGTATCTATTGTTCTTACTGTACAATAGTGTCGTGCATCCCTGAACATTTTTTTCAACAAGACATTAGAGTAAACATAGGCTGCTCAATTTAAGACAACAGATTTCCATCCAAGTGCATGTGTTTCAAAAGTACATTTAAGTAGAGGAATTCTACAGGAATATTACCTGTCTATGAAAATCAATACCCTCCAAATTGGGGGGGGTCTTTGATAGACATATCCATCAATTGAGATTTTTCTTGTTCATCTGTCATTAGTATTTGATTTATCAGAGGCTTGAGAATGATAAATACCACTCATGAAAATTCTGAAAAGCCAAATGGCAGAAGTTGATTTCAAATAGATTTCCTTACCATTGGCCAATAAATGATAGAGACCTTAGAAATTCTTCTTAAATCCAATACCACATGCAGTGTTCTCTCCTATGCTGTTTATTCTTCCACAACTCTATCCTATATTATTAATTAATTCATTTCTGCTAATATAAATTGTGACAGTTCTGGGTCATTACTATGATATTACTAATTGAGATTACTAAAATCTTTACCCCTAGTTATTCAGAAGGGTTGGACTAAAAGAAGATCAGCAATCCTGGCAAAAAACAAAATTAAAAACAAAAAAAAATGTATACAATGCAAACAAAGGAGATAGAACACTGAACAAAGATAAAATCAAGTTAATTTGTAAATCTTCTCTAACCTCCCTTATAATCTTACTGAATAAAATTTAAATTATCGTATATCCTCTCATATATTGGGATTAAAAAGTATTTGATGTAATATCAAGAAATCAAGTGAGGGTGGGAAAAACCAAAGATTATTTCTTTACAAAACTGTAGGAATAATTAAACAAGAACATATTTCAGTAAAAGTTTATCTAAGTACTACATGCATGAGAATATAGTGCTAAATCAGAATCATTAGAAATAAAGAAACTACAAAATTACAGAAGATTAGAGTTAAAAATTAAGTTACTCTTAGACAAAAACTTATGTTAATACTGTAACTACTTAGATGTATTTGAATAGAAACATTATAGTTAAATAAATCTCAGTGCTTACTTACATTGTAAATTATGAATAGAGGTCTACTTTCTAATATTGTTAGGTTATCATGCCTTACCAACTCATCATTTAATCATTGGTCAAACATCCTGAGAATTCTAAAAACTTGATGTCAAACTAAAAATAAAGGCAAAGAAGCTGTCAGAGTTTTCTGAAAGGAGTCATTTAACAAAATATTCCCAAAAAAACTACATTCTAGTTACATTTAGCTAGTTATAAAATTATTCAATAAAAAATTGTTTATAAAGTAGCATCCCCAAAACAATCCCACAGTACTTTTAAAGTAAAATTTAAGGAAAGTCAAACAGTCTGGAATTTGTTAAACAACTGTTAAAATATTTCTTTTTTACCAGTTATAATTAAAGTTTATAGACATGCTTGATATATTTTTCTACCTTAGATTGCTTTTTAGATAAAAGATTGTTATGGCCCTTGATGTAATGGTTTACAAAAAGAAGGGAGGCAAGAATGTTTTAACTTTTAAATATACTCATCTTTAAAAGTGTGTGACCTCAATTTAACCAATCCTTTTCAAGTTCTTTCTTCCCATAAACATAAACAGTTATAGTTAAGTGGTATTTATTTTCCATATGTTCACAGGATTGCAACATGAACAACTATGTTTAACTATCTTTAGTTAACCACATGATATTTCTTCTTAATCATAACTGACTAAACAGAAGCCAGGACTGGAAGTCATAGCTCTTTCCAAGTCCAGTGCTTGTTTCAAGGGTTTCAGTAATAAAAAGAGCAAATTTGGAATTAATGTGGTAGAAATTGCTCTATTTGGCCTTAAAATTGATAGTATATTTGTCATAGGCAATTTCCCTTTAAACAATGTCTCTGAAACTGCTTCCCTAGCATATTCACAGAACACAATTAATTTTAATATTCTAAATAGAATATAAAGTGATTATATATTTTTAAAAGAAAAAAATTTTGAATGACCAGATTTCCACAATGATTATATTTTAAATAATATATAAAATATTAAAAAGATTTCTGTGATTATGTATAAGTGTTAACATGGTAAATATTTTTTAAAGATGATCAAAATTACTTTTGTGAAAGGATTTATTTGCCTTGGAAACTCGTAAGTCAACATTTTACACTATATAAAAAAGGATCTGAATATTCACAGATTCCACCCTGTGTGGTTAACAAAAAAGCAATGAATATATTTTAAAATATTTTTGATCTACTAGTTCAGAAATTATCACACTTCTAATTATCAAAGGCATTTAATAAAAATGGAAAAATATCATCTAATAGGAATTATTTGACTGTTTCCTCATCTAATTCTAAGTTCACTACATAAAAAGCCATATTACAAAAGTTTAATTTTATAGAGTATGATGACAAGATAATGTGCAAATATTTACAATTGCTAATGTCTTCAATAAATAACATTGATATAAATGAATAAAACAAAGTAAGTACGGATTATAAAAATGAGTTATCTGAAATCCTAAAACTGAAAATTATCCCAGTTAATTTTATCAATTAGATAAGAACTGACATTTCATTCACTTATTTTAACCTCCTTGGTTGAGAAACTTTCTAAAATATATCACAAACTGCCTTGAACATAATGTATGAAAAAATGTCTTATCCTTGTCTGAGTATTTTGGATCCTAATTATGAAAATAATTTATACTATGCACATTTAAGCTTTCAGAAGCTACAAAGTGGAATCATGAGTAGTGGTTTAATGGCCTTATTCTATTACACCCTTTGAATTACTGTATCTTCTTTTTTATGTTTTTTTCCATCATTACTTTTTGCTATTATGAATATGCCAGAGATGACACCTTTGTGAATTCAGACTTGTTTTCTAATTTGCTCTAAGCCTTTCAATATTTCATGCAAAAATGTTCTGACATCTATTTGCAAGTTAAAGAGTATCAGTGTTTGTCTCTGAATTCTTAACTATGTTTTTTAAAGATAATACTCCCTAACAGTACTGTCTGTATGGAGAAATTCCAGGACAAGCTAACCATCTGCCTTGGTACTATATTGAGTGTTACTGTGTGGCTTTATGTTAGCCCTATAGAAAATAATACTGTAATCAATTAATAATGTCTCCAGTTAATGCTCAATAAGGAAGTGGAGGCATACACACGATGTGTTAGACATCATGATATAAAACTGTGGTTCCAAACTTTAATACTCATAACATAAGGAACTTAGAAAAATGCAGATCCTTCCCTTCTCCCCACTGACCTGTAAAACTCTGAATCCATAGGTCTAGGATGATATCATGAAAAACCACCAACAGTAATTGCAATCCAGATGGTCCCTGGACTACATTTTGAAAAATTCTAATATAGAATAACAGTCTCTTGTGAACTCCTAAGTACAGATTTAAGATTAAGTACCAACATGTTTCAGTTTTATGATGCCAATTAGAATAGGGTCAAGGTCATCAAAAGATTATTTCACACCTATTTGCTTTAGAAAACTTAGAGGTCATTCATCGTAGACACCTATTTGCTTTAGAAAACTTAGAGGTCATTCAACTTAGAGGTCAAAATCATCAAAATATTTCAGGGAAAGAAAAAAATCCCAATATTTATTCCTTCTCCCCATGTCACTTTCCTGAAAAGATGGTGGGAAATTATAGCAAGCGACATGTGTAGACTCCCAGCAGGAGAGAGACTCTGCCACTTAGGGAAGGTTCAAAATTACATATTGCTATCACCTGTAGGGTGTTACTCATGGAAAGTACAAAAGCTATTCAATATAAAGTTCAAAATATTTGGCACTTTTTTTTCAGTAATAACTTTATTTTGAGGACAATTGTAAATATCAGGATAGAAATAGATACATACTCAAGACAGAGTTCTGGATTCAGATTTTCAGTTATGTCTTGAGCTATTTTGTTACTTTAAAAATATTTTACTCTTCTTTTATTTGAAATTGTCCTTTTCCACTCAAAAGTCCTCTTCAAATTTTGGTAACATGAAATATGAATAAGTGACCTAATGCAGAATTCTAACTAACATCTGTTTTCATTATAAATAAGCATATAGGAAGAAGAAATATTATAAGCCGAACACATTTTTTAAAAAAGCATAGCTGACAATTGAGTAAAAGGCTATTTGCCCACTGGCAGCAGATTGCTAATAAAATACTATAGGACACAGCATATCCAAAGGCTGATATTTGAAGTGTCATTAATTAGATCTCAGTATAATCTATTTATTATTGTAATCTATATTTACTGACAAAGCAAAAAATGGGAAGACATTTCACATATAAGCAAATCTAATGCATATCAATATGTGTCAAAATGGTAGAACTGTCTTTAAGTTATTGGAAGTT